ACCCCCCCCCCCAAACTCCCACCCCTTTTTTTTCACTGTGTCCTCCTCCCCACAATGCTGTGTCCTAACCCCGTGGCACATTGTGCGCACTTGATGTTCAGCAGAAACTCTTTTTTTGTCAATACTCATTGCTTACTCACCTTACACCCCCACCCCTTCCCTCACCCGTGTCCCCCTTCCCACAATTCTGTGCCCTAACCCCGTGGCACACTGCACACATGTTGTTCAGCAGAAACTCTTTTTTGTCAATACTCATTGCTTACTCACCTTACACCACCCCACCTGTCCCTCACTCGTGTCCTCCTCCCCACAGTTCTGTGCCCTAACCCCGTGGCACACTGCGCTCACAAGACGTACGCCAGCCAAGTGGTGGGCTGCCTAGGCTGTATCTACTGTGAGGACGGCTACATCCCGGCTTCCAACCCGCATTACAGACGGGCGCCGGAGAACAGAACCTCTGGCTTCTATCACTACCAAAGTCTTAAAGTTTCCGGTTCTTTGGAGATGTAAGTTTAATCTGATATATATTACACAAACGTTTACTTTTCACACCTCTTGAATCCCTTTAGGGAGAAGTAGAGAGAGAGAGAGAGAGAGAGAGAGAGAGAGAGAGAGAGAGAGAGAGAAAGAGAGAGAGAGAGAGAGATGGGTGCTTTTAGCCTTCTTTGCTTTGAAAATGCTGCCCTCTGCATTCGTCAACGTACATAAAACTAAGCATTTATTTATGTCCCAAGCTTTCCCTAAATGCTCCAAGGGCTCTCTTGTGAGCACAAGATAGTAGCAACTCTTTTCACTAGTTATGGCTTACTCATGGCTTACTCATGGCTTACTTATGGCTTACAATCTTCCCCCCACCTGCAATACGGTAATTGCGGTGCCAGATCCAGTGGCACACTGCGCCAACTTCTTCGGCACAACCTTTCTATAAGACACGAGCATCATCTGGCTTGCCCGCCTCGTAAGCTCTGCGAGAGCAAATAAGTTCATCCAATTCAATTGCTCAATGCTGTTGTTGTTGTTGTATGTGTGAGGTAGCCTATCCGTTTGAAATGTTTGGAGCCCCGAAGAATGTGCCCTTCGCCAGGGCCACCGCCTCTCTAGGGTAGCGGGAAAGCAGTCCAACCTCCCTGAATCCTCCCCAAAGAGATGCTACTGCCGGACCTCCGTGGCGGGGCATCTCTGCAGCCAGCGCTCCAAATCTTGAAGCCCCTCGCTGCAGAATGGACATATTGTTTTGTCTATTCTATTTCCAGAAAAGTGACCAGTTCTGATTTTTGCCAGTAGTGACTGGTCACTGCAGGACTTAATTTGAGCCTCTCGTTTTAAGGAAATTTCCCTGTATATTTATTATTTCCTTCGTCCGTGTGTGAGATATCGGAGGGTCTTTTGTGATGAGTTTTATCTGGGCGCATGCACTTCCATATGTAATTTGGCGGTCTGGACCCGGCAGCACAGTTGTTGTTGTTGTTGTTGTTGTTGTTGTTGTTGTTGTTGTTGTTGTTGTTGTTGTTGTTGTTGTTGTTGTTGTTAACGATCCAGTAGCACCTGAACGTTAACTCTTCTCATGATGCCATTCTGTAACATCTGCGTGTCTGTTCTGATTGTTGTCTTGAGGAATAGAGGCAGTTAGATGTGTGTGGTAGCTTGGGAAGAACACATCCCCTCAAATCGGTTAGTTTTCTACTGAAGAACAGACAGATGATGTTCCACTGTCTCTAAGGGGTAGTCACATAGTGGGCAGGCAGCAGACTGCTTTACTCCAATTCGGTTGAGGTGTTGATTGAGGGGCACACCGCTCAGTGTAAGACTCCCTCATACATGCCTTTTCAAAATGGCGTATTTATTAATTTGTTGTTGTTATTGTTAGTGTTTTACGGCGCACATAACTGCATAAGGTCATACGAGCGCACGGGACACTTCAAACAATTTCAGTTGTTAGGAAATTTTGATTTTTTGCCCGGGTGGCAGCCGAAGCCTACTCTTATCGATTAAAGACCACCAAAGGATCTTTAACGTGCGCAACTTGCACACGGTACCTCCGAGAGTTTTTGCCTTTGTCTGAAAAGGCTAGGTGTAGATCTTTCCTACCAGAAGATCAGAGATGTGGCTGAAAGACGGCAGTAAGAAGGAGCCAAGGAGTAGAAGTAGAAAGGCTGCAGAAAGAGTCAGGAGCCCAGAGGAGGGGGCAAAGGAGTGAGGGGGTGGGGGCAGAAAGTGGGGACGAAAGTAGACGGCAGATCATTGCTAGAACAAGAAAGGAGATGGAAGGAGACAATTTTTAGAGAAGAAAAATTTCCGTCGCTACCCAGATTCGAACCCTAGACTTGTGAATGAGAAGCCAACACCTTAACCTCTAGGCCACGAGAGCCCCCTATCCCTTTTCACAATGGCGTATGGCGGAGTCCTACTCAAAGCAGTAAGCATCTTCTGTTTAACCTGCTGTTTTTAAAAGAACATTATTTCTTTACGTTCTTTACAAACGTTTTACCTGTATTTCCAGCAACGAGCCTCGTTATACCTGCGTGCTTGGTCCTCCTTGCCCCCCTGGTTGGCACAACGACACAAAGGCAGGCTTTGAAATCTGTGAAAGTAAGGAACCCCCCCCCCCCCATTTTTTTCTTCTTTTTTCTTTTTAACGTCTACAGAAACAACAACAATATGAGCAGCAACCATAATTGCGATAATAACATCGGTAACCAACAGCTTCACCATATTTTTGTACAGCATATGAAAAAATGACGAGAAGATCTGCAATGAATCATCATCATCATCATCATCATCATTAGCAATAGCAATACATGTATAGTCATCATTTTATACTCCTGTTACTGTTACTTCTGTTGTTTTTGGGTATTTGGATATGAAAACAGCACTGCGCGCTCGATAATTAATTGTTTGCGCTCTAAGTCTTCCTCCGTTGAGAAGAATACCCTTAGGTACTCTCCCTCTTCCTCTTCATGTTGACGCAAGCAGATAACAACAGTACGACTAAAATCTTATTTTGTTTTGTTTCCTTTTTTTAGTAGACCAGCTGACCATTGTGGGGTGATGATGGAGACGGGCGGAATCCTTCAGGCTGTCACGGAGTATATGAATAATGGTATGATAATAAACATGGTGTTTTTAGTATGTTTTTTTCTTCTTATGAGTTTGTCTTTTTTCGTTTCTTGTAAAGTTTGGTTGGTTAGTTTGATTAAAGAGAAGCACATCGACACAATAATACTCATTTAGTGCTGGGAAAAAGTAAGACAGATAGACAGAAATATCAGAGGGAAAGCAAAGAAGTAAGCCATACCAGTAGTGCCTTCCAACCAACAGCCATTGTAACGAGTGTATCTGTTGTGAGTGGTGGGCGGGTGTTTTGGTATGGTTTGCTCCCTCTTCCCTATCAAACATCAATCGTCCATATCGCCTCCTTTTTTGAGTTTGTTCTTTTCTTGTAACACCTGTATTCTTCGGCACTTACCTGACCTACTTGAGTCGCAAGTGCCGAAAATTTTCTCCTAAAAACACAAAAAGAAGGAAACTTAACCACTCAAAAGTGAAACTCTTTCCAATATGAATCTGTAAAAGTGTAGCATACGATTACCTGAGAGGTGAGATACAGGACGCGGTAGAAGTAAACTTTAGCCCTCCATTCAAAGGTTACTTAACCAAGTGCGGACATCCGGAGCTGCCACTTTTAGTAGGGGACACATTTAGGCGATGTGACGTCACATGAGCTAAACTCTTTTCACTTAACTTAAAATGGGCGTCGAAAATTATTTCTTTTATCCACAATGCCGCATTACGAAAAATTGTCGTACGGACCCAAAACCAAACACCCTCGGGTTTGAAAAGAACAAAACAAACAACAATCCAACAACAACAACCGACTACCCTTGATATCTAGCCGTGGAAGACGGAGAGGGCGAAACTTAATAAAAACAAGCCAAAAATAAATAAATAAGAAAATGACCCCCCCCCACACACACAACAAAAGCCAAACAAACCAAAAACAACCAAACCCCCAAACCCCCACGGCTATTATACATTTAGAACCGAGGTGTCAGCAACTGTAATGGAAGTTGATTATAAACCATGCCAGCAGTCCCATTCTTGTCATACAAGTGGAGGAAGACGCCAGAAGGAGGTGAGAAATCTGCGCTTCATGGGATCGATCGTGTTAACTGGTAAAAGGAGTTCGTAATGCAAGGATACGAAAAATTCTTATCAGTTAGCTTTGTAGAGAGGTTCAGCAAAGCAACTCAATTTTGACACTTCCATTCTTTGACTCTCCGGTACACCCTTTTTCCAAGTCTATCCGTTCTTGTTTCTCTCTCTCTCTCTCTCTCTCTCTCTCTCTCTCTCTCTCTCTCTCTCTCTGTCTGTCTCTCCCCTTTTGTCAAACTCTCGTTGTTACTAA